GTGTCTAGTTTCATTCTGTCCATCTTCTAATCCCCACCTGATTTACTGTTTCAGCAGAATATTGAGAGTCCTTAGTGTTGTTTTTGCCACTGGTTTGGCTGTACACCAGAAAAACAGAATAAGAATAAGAACTTTTATTTCAAGCACATATTGCGAATGGCCAAGATTTGTATTTCTGAGCTTGGAAATCTTGATCAATGTCATAATAATGACAGTAATAACAATGGTGATCTTTTTTAAAAACCAGAAGCCTCCCACACATTTATCTGCTTAGCTTCCTCTTTAAAACTTGTGTTGACACAGTAATTCTAGCTTTTTCTCATGTTTCACTTGATTTCCCAATTTAACTGAGCTATCTACCATAATTTCACTATCCCATAATTATTCCATTCTGCAACAATACAATACAATACAATACAATACAATACAATACAATACAATACAATACCCCTTAAATGGAGGTGATAGGAAGATCAGAAAATCCGAAAATCTCTCTCTGGAGAAAGGAAAGATCTATTTGAGATGCCCATATGTACTCTGCTCTTTTTTTTGTGGCCTCATCATGAACTTTTGTGGCCTCTTGCAAACTGCTGGGAGTTGCGGGATAATTAAGCTCAGAGCCACTAATGTAACCTGCTATGGACTTAAGGTTCAACCAAACTTCACTTTTTTATTTAGCTCTGTGTTTAATTTCTTAATATTATTACAGCTTGTTAAAGATTGAAACCTTCAGAAGGTTTGGTTGTATTTGCTTTGTGAGTTCTTATTTAAGAAAGAAGATTGCAAGCTTTATAGGATTTTTTTAATTTACAAATGAAACTAGATATTTGATAATTACAAAAAGATGTATAAATATACATTTAATAAATAAATGAGTAAATATCAAGTCAGAGAAGTGACTATGAGAATATGAACAGCAATATAAATAATTTCTCTTCACTGGAATTACAAAAGGGACTCGATAAGGATGCTAACAATTCTCAAGAAGAGTCAAGAGAGTATGAAAAATCAAATATTTGGATTTTGAAGGAACTCCAGTTTGTTGGAGAAATGGAAACGAATACGAAATCACTTTATTTGCTCAAGTTTAATAATGGTTTGCTGGTAATGTCTAATGGTTTACAGATTAAAACTGTGTAACAATATTTTAAGGACGGAGATTTATAAAGATGCGATTTTATCTCCAGTGAGGTTTAATGGATTTTTTATTAGGATTGGATGACGTTACTTTGAAATTTTTGTTTACTTGAAAATGTTATATAAATGTAAAAGGAAAGATTCAAAGTGGGTTAACTAATGTAATTTGTATGGTATATTGTTATTACAGATAATCCTTAACATATTTTTACTGATTAAGATGGAATGAAGTGTTAAAGATTTTATTATAGAGGATGGAATGTGATATAGGACGAAGTAGTGATTTTTTAATATATGGCAATAAACTGTTAATGTTGACTATACTTACTGGGAAGGAAGAGAGAGGTTTTTTTCTTTTTTCTTTTTCTGCATTTTTTTATTTTCATGTTTTATTTTGTCTTTCTTTTTTGTATATTTTTTATTCAGTGTAGCGTATCAGTTTTATTTGAATAACATCATCCTTAGTAAACTAATTGGGATAAAAATGGGTTAGAAAGGGGGCATTTTTCTAACATTCAAACATAAAACAAGAGAATGTAATTGCTAAAAGAAAGTTCTACTTTAGTAATATGTTTTTAGTTCAGCCCTCTGTACAGGGTGGAAAAGTGCAACACCTCTGACATTAGCATCAACTTCCATTAATGGAGATCCCACCATTTATTGAGGCTTTTGTTCCCTTCTTAAACTGTTCTTTCCATTAGGAAAGTTTTCCTGATGTCCAGTCAAATCTATTTCCTTGTAACTTAAACCCTTTCTTGCTGTCCTTTTCTTGAACCACTCAGAACAATTTTGTTACATTTTTTTATAATAGGGGTCTCCAAACTTGTGGACTTCAATATCCAGAATGGCTGCCTGAGGAATTCGGAGAGATGAAGTCCATAAGTCTTAAAATTGCCAAGTTTGGAGACTCCTGTTCTATATCACTGTCCTTCAAATAATTGAAGATAGCTATCATGTCTCCCTGCAGTCTTCTGTTCTTCAGGCAAACATATCAATCATCTCTCATCATTCCTTATAACTCCTTCCAGGTCCCACATAATATTGGTTGCTTTTCTCTGGACCTACACTCTCTGAACACCGGAATCCTTTTGGCATGGATTGTTAACTAATAAGGTCCTTTTAAGCTTACACTCATGCTGTTTGTTTTTCCTATTCAAATGTAGAATGTTGTATTTTTCTCTGCTAAGATTCATTTTGCTAGTTTTTCAACAATGCTCCATTCTATCGAATTTCTCTAAATTTTGCCACTCTAAATCTAGAAAAGACTGTCCTCTAAAGTGCTTTTTTCTCTTATCTTTGTGCTATCTGCAGATTTGATAATAATATATTCAGTGGTGGGATTCAAATATGTGAACAACCGGTTCTCTGTGTGGATGCTGCTTCTGGAAGTCCATTCTGGGCCTGGACAACAAAAAATTAGTTACTGGTTCTGCTGAAGTGATGTGAACCAGCTGAATCCCACCACTGAATATTTTCCAAACCCTCATCAAAATCATTTAAAAATATGTTGAGCAGCACAGAGTCTAAAAAAGCCCTGTGTTATGGTGCTCAACATTTCAGTCTTGAAACAGAACCATTCACTCAATTCTTTTACATATACTGTATCCCTCTAATAGAAATATAGCCTAGTACAGTTTTCATGTTCCTCAAGCATTTCTTGAATGCTTTGTTGAAGAAAAAGTTCACTATGCCTACCATATTCTCACGGTCACTTTTATCAAAAAGTCAGGATGTTCTGTTATGATGTATATTGTTAAAGTCATGCTAGCTTTTGCCAAGTTATGTAGTCTACCATAACCTGAGTCCTGTGACTCATCTCATTTGAAGATAGGAACAACATTTGTTCTTTTCCAGTTCTCTAGCACAATGCCTATCCTTCATGATTTCTCAAAAAAAAAATATTATAGAATAGGCTCAAAAATAATATTGACAAACTCTTTCATGACTCTCAAAAGTAATTATTCTAGTTTTGGAGACCTGAACCCATTCATGGTCACCAGATACTCCCTAATAAAGTCTGCATTTATTTTGAATGGCTTCAACTCCAAATAATCCATTCAATTTGGAAATCTGATTTCATTTAAATTCTTCATGGAATCTACATTGCTATCTTTTTAGATACTAAACAAGTACAGTCATGTGATCCAACTCCCACCCTAGTCATCTTGTATACTGTAGATTTAATTATATTAGCTTCAAAAGTGACAAAGTATATGGCACCCTTGGTATATTTGGGATATTATGAGATCCTAAAATCTTTCTATATGCCCTTAGATTCCATTTTCCCCTGTAGACCTGTGATTATATCCATAAACTGTATCTTTCTAGATGAGGACCAGATTCTAATCTCCAAATCTTCCTTCAAGAAGAAAAGATAAAATAGCAACAGCAGCAGTAGCAGCAGCAGTAACAGTAAACTAGCATGCTTTCTTTACCTGGTGGATAGCACTTAATAGCAATGTTATTAATATTTTATATATTTAGAATAGAATAACAGAGTTGGAGGTCTTCTAGTCCAACCTCCTGCTTAGGCAGGAAACCCTATACTATTTCAGAAAAATGGTTGTCCAATCTCTTCTTAAAAACTTTCAGTGTTGGAGCATTCACAACTTCTGGAGGCAGGTTGTTCCACTGATTAATTGTTCTGTCAGGAAATTTCTCCTTAGTTCTAGGTTGCTTCTCTCCTTGATTAGTTTCCATCCATGGTTTCTTCTCCTGCCCTCAGGTGCTTTGGACAATAGCTTGACTCCCTCTTCTTTATGGCAGCCCCTGAGTTATTGGAACACTGCTATCATGCTACCCCTAGTCCTTCTTTTCATTAAACTTTCATTAAATTAAATTAAATTAATGAAGTAAATTTATTTATTTACTCATTCATTCATTTATTTATCCTCTGCCTTTATTATTTGTAAATAATAATTTATAAATTATTTAAATATTTAATATTTGTAAATAAGTCAAGGCAGCAAGCATACTTAATACTCCTTAATACTCCCATAATAACAACCCTGTGAAATCAGGTGGGCTGAGATAGAGTGAGAAAGTCACTCTAAAGTCACTAGACCTCATGGTCTTTTGGTTTCTAACCTAGCATGTGTCTCTCTTCCAGACAACAGTCTGTTGACGTTACTTGAAACTCCTAATTTCTCTTCAGTGTTGAAGTATCTATAATATTCTTAACTTGATAAATAGCTTGTAACAAGTAGAATTCTACAGTAGTGGGAGCATTTAATGAACTCAGCTGACCCCAGAGAGGCTGAACAGGATTAAACTTGGACATCATGAATGGAAGACAACCAGGAATGCTCAGCCCTGTAGATGAACTTGGGAAGTTGAAAAGGCTCCTCAGAAGAAGGCAGTGATGCAAATATGTACATTGTTGCTAGAAAAATTTACTTTGGCTCAATGGAGTCCTTACCTTCCAGCAAGCTAATCAGTCCTGGAGGATGACAGTTCCTAAAGGAACAAAAAAACATGGAATTGGTACCACTTTCGTTGGGGAGATTTCATCCTATTTATCTGGTTTCATTTTGGTTGCTTGAAATGATGTTTTCCATCTCTGTCACTTACATAGTTTAGAGAGCATTTCTGGTATACTGGGATAATACAAAAAGAAAATACCTCAAAATACCTGTTTAGAAGCCACAGAAAGTTCTCCAAGAATTCACTTTGCCTTTTCTGAAAGGTATCTAATTTATCTGTTTTTGAAAACTCGAGGAGACAAATGTGAACTCTTTACTTACTTACTTACTTACTTTTTACTGCCTCACTTTTTTTCATTGGGTTCATTATTCTTGTCTTTCTGTTTGATAGTTTATATTTGGGGAGAGATAATATCGTGTGTTTCTCTTTTCTGCTGTCAGCTAAAAATGGTAACAAGAAAGGTGAGAAAAACAAGAAGAGCAATGAAAGAACACCAGATGGCGACTATGAAAGGCGAAACACTGGTGAAGACAGCAGACAAAGTAAGCGAGAATGAAGATTTGTTTGCACTTCTTTTTTGGACGAACCCTTTCTTGGGACAAATTTTAATGACATGAAAAGCTATCCTAAAAATAAATATTTGATCTTATGGAATATGAAGGTGGTTCATTACAGTGGTTCCTTTATAATAAGAACTTATCAAACTTCTTTGTGAAGTGCAAGAAAAGCACTTAAAGGTTAAAATGGATAAGTGTGGGAGAAAGCGAAGATGACAGGCAAAGGACTTCGAGTGCTTAGCTGTAGATTTATATACTGATTAAATTTCAGAGGAATAAATCAGAATAAGACAGATCTAAAAGGCATCCAGATCAAAAGGTGTCAAAATCCAAAGCTTCACAAATGACATGGCAATTTTTAAAAAAATGTAGACACAGACAATGCTTTTATAAAGTGGCAATGTTGCTTTTCAAGCTTCTATGGAACACAAAAAGCAGGATGACAAGCAGGTGGAGGAGGAAGAGGGCTTAATTTTGCAACTGACAGCTCTAGCTTTTAATTACAGTATCTGCTTTTAGAGGGTTCCCCAATTATAGTGATCTGCACTGAAGAATGTTGACTGTTGAAGTAATATATTATATAACTACTGTATCAGTATTTCAGAATCAGAAAATAGAGATGTGACTATTTCAACCCATCATATTTGGCACACTGTTTTTTAGCTGTTCTTCTGTCCCTTAACCCCAAATTAAACAAGGTATTATTAACTGGATGCATTTCCAGGAATCAACCTTTCCTTGCTGAAGTTTCTGATTGCACAATTTAAGTTAATCGGCCCTCGAGCAGGCTACTCTGACTTATCAGGACAGTACAGGAACAAGTCATGAGTCGGTTGTGCTTCTAGGGATACAGCTCTCAATTACAACCTGCTGTTCCTTGGTGACAGATGAGCACAAAGATGTTTCAGGCAATCAATATGTGTGTCTTGAAGCTAGGAAGAAGTGCTTCTTCTATCTCCTAGTTTTAAGTTGGGATAAAAAGCCTATTTTCCTCCGTGTGCTGATACTGATGGCAAACCAAACACACTGTTTTGTATAGAATTTCTCAGCTTGTCTTATTATACCATACTGGTTTGTACAGGGATTGAGCAAAGATAGGAGTAAGGAATAGGATCCAGTCCCCTAGTTAAAAGCCCTGTGCAATAAAGGTCAGATTATTGCTGATACCTTGGCAGCAACACTACCTATTTCTGTGTTGAAATGTTCAACTTGCAGAAAACATCCTTCCCCATTCTTGCAGCAGGCGGAAGGTAGGATATGGCAATGATGGCGAACCTTTTAGAGTGCCCCAAAACTGGCCCCGCCCCCACTCCACCCCCTGCCCCACCCCTGCCCTGCCTCCACCTCTCCTGCCCACAGGGCCACTCATCGCCTCTAGGGCCCACTGCAGATCGCCCAGCAGCGCCATGGTGGCCACGCCCTTTGCCCGCGCCCCGCAGCATCAACTGTGCACGATGGGGTGTGAGGGCAGAATCTTATCTACTCTGTCTGGCTGCCATGTCCTTGGCTGCACTGCTCCGTGTGGGCCACGTTCGGGGGCGACTCTCCTCCAGGGAGGCTGTTGGTGAGGAGTGGGTCACGTGGGAGGCAAGGCTGGGGCAATGGCACATGTGCCCAGAGAGGGCTCCGAGTGCCGCCTCTGGCACCCGTGCCATAGGTTCACCACCACTGGTATATGGCATAATAATCAGTATAATTCCCCATCTGGAGAAGTAGGGGAAATTGGGGCAAGGACAGCAAAGAACCAAAGACTATGGATCCATTATAAATGAACAGAAATCCAGGTAAAACATGGTGAAGATGCATTGAGTGAAGGTGCACTCAGTTTTTATTTATATATTATTTTTAATTAATTTTCTATGCCACCTATTGTCAAGGGTTTTCATCTTTGGCAGAGTCAAGGAACCTATGTAGCCATCCACAAAAGGAAAAGCATGTGAAAATTTAGGTTTCTGTCTTATCAGTATTCCAAGGTGGGATTCAGAATATTAAAGTGCATTAGCTACTATTAATACAGGGAAAAAGGGAGAAATTGACAGAGATTAAAGTTAAAACACAGATGAGTTCTTGGTTAAATCCAGATAACTGAGTGACAGAACAGGGAGCTACTTCTTTATTTTTTTTTAAAAAAAACCTGAAGTATAAGTTGACCTTTACTATGAATTGGCCTTTTCAGTAAATCAATAGGCAGTGTGCTTCCAGACAATTGCATATATGTAAAAATTCTGAATATTAAGGGTGCTCTCAAACATAATAGCCACTGCACTAGAAGAAAAAAAATATCTGCCTTCCAAAAACAACAGTCACAGAATTTGGTGATTTTAAAAAAGTTCTTTCACTGTGTACAGTTGGCAGCATTATGAAGGATGACAGTTCTGCCCAGTTCTTGTCACCTTTTGAAAATATTCAAAGTTTAATTATTTTCTGGATAAGTGCGCAGTAAACCATGCAGATGCTGACACTTTTGCAAAAGATTGGGATTATTTTACGGTTGATTTGTATATAATATTTAGAAAATCTAATATCAAAACCTGCAGTATAGTAAAACAAGTGGCTGGGGTGATTGGACAGCCCAGTTATTCCTCTAGTCTCCTGGGAGGTTAGACTTCATAGATACTTTCTGAGGTAACTTTGTACCCTTGTTTAAAAAGCCAAAGGAACATAAGGCTATGCCAAACATTGATCCTCTTCTCACCTTGTGAGAGAGGAGAAAATGGAGAAAGGAGAAAGGAGAAGGAGGAATCTTTCCCCCCCTCTGTTTTTTTAAAGAGTTCAGAGCAGCAGGGGAGACACTGCAGCCAATAAAATGATTCTTGGTTGTACTGTAATAATGGTTTTGAAACATTATTATACCTTGTCTCCAGTTCACTCTATGTTTGTCCCCTTGCAATATAAAAGAATGCTGCCTTTGTTTTGATATAGCACAGTTTTTATGTCCATGTTTTAATTGAAAAAAATAGCTCAGTTTTTCTTTCATGATTTTGTTTAATTACATTTAGATCATTATACTGTAACCAGCAGGAAATAAAAATAAGCTTATTACTATTCCATTCTCTCTCTCTCTCTCTCTCTCTCTCTCTCTCTCTCTCTCTCTCTCTCTCTCTCTCTCTCTCTCTCTCTCTCTCTGTGTGTGTGTGTGTGTGTGTCGGGCTAGGATTGGGAAGAATCAAGTTCTAGGCCTAACTAACTAACCAACCAGGTAGATTACAGTTCATAACCTTGAATGAATCATTTTACTTGATTGCTGCAGGGTTTTACTGCTCACAGGAGAAACTCCGCATGTTAGCTATTATTTTACTGAAGGAAAATTAAATTATCTTTAGAACTGACTTTCAGAACTCTGATCCACCTATTGTACATGTAACCAAGTTAGAGGCTGATTTAGTAATGTGAGAAGTTTGGTGAATTCAGATTTTCAGATTAACTTATTAAATGTGTTCTTCCTGGATCATTATGGAATGTGAAATTGGAAGTTTAGTATTTAAAATCATCAGAATTTTGCAGTTAAGTTATCTAAATAAAAATACTATTTTTGGATTGTATTTATTGGTAATACAGGAAATAAGTATTAACAATTTTCAAGAACAACTTCCCCATATGCCTGAAGAGAAAAGATCAGGGTATGCTACCTGCTCTAACTTATACCAGTGAAACATGGACACTAACCTCACAATTGACACAAAAGCTACGAATGGAGCAAAGAGCCATGGAAAGATACATGTTCGGCATTACAAGACAAGATAGAAAGACCTGCACATGGATTAGAGAACAAAAGAAAGTATAAGATGCCATCAAGAGAGTAAAAGAATGGAAATGGAAATGGGCTGATCACCTAGCAAGAAGAACTGATGGCAGGTGGATCAAGGCAGTCATAGAATGGATCCCGCTTGACAAAAAGGATCCATGAAAGAGACCCAAAACAAGATAGATTGACGACATCAGCAAGTCTTGTGGGCCTAGCTGGCAAAAGAAAGCTCAGAATTGTATTGGTTGGAAACTTGCGAAAGAGGCCTTCATCCTGCAGTGGATAGACAATGTCTAAAATGATGATGATGATGATGATAATGATGATGATGATGATAGAGAGAGAGAGAAAGAGAGAGAGAAAAAGAGAGAGAGAGATGGCATATAAGTGTGTACTAAAATGAGTCAAATTGTTTTGTAACATTGATAATTGATGTAGAAACTAACTAAGCATTGGAAAAATTGACAGTGTTGGGACCAATGGAACCATTGTTTATGAGTAAAAAAATAGCTTCCCTATTATAAACCATCCACTGGTTTTCTCATATTTTATTGAAGGAAATTTCTTTTCTCTATAACTGTTGATTAAAAGTTCACAAATCCTATGATTAACTATATGTTTCTCTTTGGAATAACTGCAGTGTTCATTAGTTACTAAGATAATAAAACATGGATTTAGATAGAATCTATTAAAAGCTGTTTTATTGCATCCTGCAAACTTGGTTATAAGCAGTGGAATAGTCTAGCACCAAGAAAATTGAATGTGTCCCAGACATCTCACTAGATCTTCCTCTCAACTACAAGTGGGTGTGAAAAAGATTTTGCACCATAATCAGCACCATAAAATAATATTTGAAAATATACACAAATCCACTGTAGCTGCGGTTTATTTCATAATCCTATTTTTCTTATGTAATTAAGGTTTTAAATTAATATAGCCAGAAAAACTAAAAAGAACCAAAATAACTCGAGATATTTCAAGCTTGACATTTTAAAAGCTGAACAAAAAAGGATTTCTCTGTTCATCCAGTATGTTAATAAAATTGAGTTCTGTCTGAACTGCATGTTTGAACATTCATTTTCCTATTTGCTGCTTTAAGAAAAACTGTTTAAAGACTTACTTATCTACATGCTGGCTTATTATCAGGCATAGCTGTGCTAGTAGCTGTGTCTACTCTAGTAATGCCTGACTTAATCCTGCCCAGAACGGCAATTAAAATTTGATTTGCCAATAGCCCAAG